AATTTAGACCAAATTTTGAGATATTGTGGGTCTTCTGGAAACCTATAATAAAAAAAGTTAAGCATTCTAAAAAAACACTCCTTATACTTATACTTAAATTAGATATTTTCTTACGCTCTTTCACTGAAGAGTTTTTACAATTAATTTTGGCACACTTAGTCATGATTTTTATACAAATTAATCAAAAAAAAAACACTTATTAAGATAGAAATAACGTCGAAATATTTAAATTTGAACGAAGTTCTGACATCCCTTTGACAACTATGACATGACCACTAAGAGAGGAGGAAGGGGTGTTGTTTTTTTTTGGCATGTCATCTCCATAGTATTCAACCTCATTGGTTTTAATTGTATCTAAATTATCTATGTTTTGACTTATATGTATATGTATAATTTTACTAAATTTGTATACTGTGATATTAGTAAATTAGCTAAATAAAGAAAATAATAATAGTTTTGGGAAAAATTCCAAGAAAAAGTAAAGGTATCAAATTTAACTATAAGTTCCTAACCTTACTTTTTAAAATTCTTGCAAGAAAAGCATAAAATACTGCAATAACACAAGTTTTAAAGCTCAAAATTGTGTATTTGAAATCTTTTTAACTAAAAATAACTGTAGTGAATGTCGGTTTTATTGAATTTTGTATCTCCTATCCCTTAAAACGCACTATACTACGAAAGTAATAATGAATATAGCGCAAAAACGATGACTACAGCTTAATGGCGATAATCATGTAGTGGCGATGTCAGCTAAAAATGGCGAAGCAGAAAATCGTGGCTGCAACTTAATCCAGTTTAATTATTCTTTTGTTTCTGACTGGCGGTGATGAATAACCTGTCCAAACCACTTGAATTAAACGATTTGAATAGTTTGTGCCTCCGAGCAATTACTAATAGAGAGAGCGTGAAAACGAGTTTGTAGGCGATTGTTGTGTTAGCAACATCTGTAGAGGAAGTAAGGAAGCGGGCACAAGAGGGAAGGTAAACATCCTTCTTGTTCAGTGGCGTATCATTTATCTATAAAAACACACATTGTCCAAACGTTTTAATTGTAAAAAAAAACTAAAAAATTTGCTAATTTTACTATTTTTAAAATGAATACCATCTTATATGTGTCTAATGCAGGAAAAGAAACAAAATCACTGTAAAAGTCTAATTTTTTCAAATGAAGAATAAAACCTTAAAATCAATTTTATTATAAATACAGAAGCGACTAGTTTCGGCCTTACAGGAACATCTTCAGGACTGTAATACAATAATCTTTAATTATTATAATAGGTTGGTCACTTACGAATAACATTAAATATTATAAACCACAAAAATGGATCCATATTGTAGCGTTACAGCATTATAGAATTAAAGCTGTGAAAATAAAAGAGCAGTGCAAACGTAACTAAAAATAAGAAAACTGAGTACGGAATCTACAAGAGAAGAGGTGAGAATGAGCAATTACGAATGCATTTAAATTGCTCGGGATAACAAATAAAGCTGATAATGTAGTGGTATAGTCCCCGTCAAAGAAGGTCAGGATATGTTTAAGAGAACGGCGTTTTCTCTGTAAATCTGGAGAATGTAAGGATGGAGGGAAGACGAATCTTGCTGGCTCAGGTGTAGATGGCTAGAAAAAGGAGCTCTAAATGAAAGCTCCAGTAAATATCGCCACTTTCGTCTAATTTTTTATTCTCACTCACCGTTTCGGCTTTATCTTCGAAATTAATTTTTAAAAGAAAATAAAAGTAATCATTCATACAAGCATATAATAAAACAACATGAATTCATTATATTTAATAAGCTAATAAACGTATGTTTCAATGAAAAAAAACATATATGTGAGTATAAAAAATATATAAATAGATAAGATTAATATCAAAATCAATTTGAAAATACAACAGATAATAAAATGAAATAAATTAATACAAGTACAAATAGAAAGTTAATAACATACCTTCTAAGAGTAATACATTTTAAGTAGATAAATGTTTAAAGAGTTTATTCCTGAACATAACTAATCTAACGTTTTCCCCCTGTTTAATGTTATGAGGTTTTTTGTAGTTGAAATGAAAATTATAATTTATTTTGGTCCTAATAAAAATTTAAACATAGGTTATCAAAGAGTAAAATTCATAATAGAACTTTATAATCTTAAATCGTTATCAAAAATTATTAATGGTAAAACTTCAAACAATAATTAGATTCTTAAACAAATTTCTAGTTTTTGTTTTGCAAAAGACTTTTTTGCCTTCTTTGGTTGCCTCTGCCACTTTTCTTTTAGTAGTTTCGAGGAGAATTTTCCTATGGAAACCAGTAGAACCATCAATTGGTTGGTAATATTTGGTAATTTTGATATTTTGAGTCTGGTAATTAAACTTTCTTCTTAGGAAGCTATAACCTTATGGAGAATAAAAATTTAATGTTAGATCAAAAGCTCTTAATTGAGAATTATATTTGCAAAGGCCGTTTTAATAATATTTTCAAACGTTCTTGGAATCGTTGTTAACAGAAACCTGCAAAAAAATATATAATTTTATTCCTAAAATATAAGATATCACACAATGCACATTCATATAATATCATTGTGCTAGAAAAATACTAGGGTAGTTACTGAGACAATTTAAAAAAAGTATTTCGAGAAACTCAACTTTTAATGTCACCATTGTACTTAACTTTTTTATTGCTAAATTATTAATAATGTCATTTTGTGTAGTTCGTTGTGATTTGTATAATATATATTATAAAAAACTATCGTCAATGTTAATGTGCCAAGTTTTTTTAATAACTATGTCCTTGTTATAGTAAAAACACATTTAAACACATTTTTAAAGTTTTCTTGATTTCTGCTTTAAATTATCGTACAATTGAACTGACTAATTGTGTGTTTAAGTAAAGGTATATTTCTTTTTTGTTATAACAGTCTTTGTATATTGTTCTAACTTTTTAGATAATCAGAGAAAACAGTAAGACATCTTAATATATCCTATTTCACCAACAAAAATGTAGAATACTTAATCTCACATCAAACGAAAAAAGTAATTTTAGGATGTCCTAATAGGTTTTAACTTAAAAACTAAATAAAATGTATATTGCAACTGTGTTTAAATAAATGAATGTTTTTATACCTGACTATAGCACCAGACTAACATTTTTTTAGATCATAATGATCTGCATAACTCAAAATAGTCAAAATCCACATTATTTAAGTTGTTCTAGTATTGTTTTAGCATAACGATGTAAACTCCAATGATAAATATTCACATTTTTTTGAGACGTTTTTTAAGGAAATTAAAAAAAACATGAATAATGTGATATTCTTGTTTAGTTTTGTACTATATAATACAGTTCATTAGGTAGTGATTTAGAAGCAAATTATGTTCTATTTATAGAATAAAAAATCACTCATAATATCTAAATATTTATACCTATTTATGTGTTGGACAGGAAGACTATTTTATGTTTTTGGCTCTGAATAGTTTTCTTAAGAATTTTAAAACCTTCCTTAGCTCTTTTGGGATATTCCATGCATATCTTAGAAGTTCATTTTGTTTAAACCTAAAACAAATTAAGTACAAAAAATGAACATTTAAACAATACACAAAATTAGTCTTTTAGATTAGTTAAAAAAAAGTGTTAACAAAAAAATGGCTATGCCTTTTTCCTTAAACATTCTTTTTGAAAGAAACTTAAGTTTCTCTACTTACTTGCTGTTTTAGTATTTTAGTAGCAGATGAATATAGTGTAGAAGTAGTGACAGGATTGATTATTATACTTCTTTCATCGAAATTGCATTTTTCTTTAATATTTTCCTTCCCTGAGGTCTGTAATAAAAATGTTCATTAGCATAAAAAGTTATTCAGGTGGTCACTTGTTGAATTCCTATATTTTGGAACCATGTATTTCTTTCTCATATCAAGAAAAGGAAACCTAAAAAAAATAACAATAAACTTTACAAAGATGTGATATTAAAATAATAAGTAATTAACCTTTACTATAATCATTATGAGACGGATGAAGACGAACTTAGCTGGAGTTTACTTGCTCTTAATTTTAATTTTTTTATAAGAAAATAAGAATGTTTAATTGCAAATTAAAGGTGATTGCCTAATGCACCGCCTCTAATAATTAGTTTGTGTCTGTACTTATGATATTATCTTGAAGAAGCATTTTCAACAGGCCTTTTACACATAAAGCATATTTTCAACATATTATTAGAGATAATAAATCTTAAATATACATTTACAACCCTTACAACGTTATAAATAATAATATTTTCCGTAAAATACAAATAAGAAATTGACATGTGTCAGAAAGTGTCAGAACTGGCGCTCACACCGCTCACACAACACTTCTGGCGCTGTCAAACTTGGCAACGCTGATTAAATAAGCCAATTACAGAAGAGGTATTTTCCCCCTCGGGGGGAGTAGATGTTGCTAACAAAATTTAGCGCGGGGAAGGGGGGAAGACTCCCTCTAGTAGTAATTACTCGGAGGTTTGTGCCGCATTTAGATCTTTTTATCTATTGAGGTTTTTATCAAAAGTCATTACAGAGTGGACACTTTTTAATTTAAACATATTTTAGATAAGAATACACTTAGCGTTTTTTATTATACATACTAAAAAAGATTTATTTAATTAAATTCATACCATTCTCTAACTTTAATTCATCTGCTTGCAATATTTTACCTTAATTTTCACTCTTCTATGGTTCTTAAAGAGCTTTAACTATTAGATAATATTTACTGTTCAGAAAATCAACGTATTATAATACAAAATACCACACACACGAAAAAATATCAAATAATCCTTTATATCTCAACTGTACTACTGGGTTTTGCAACCAAACATTCTGAAATACGAAAATTCCCTATTTGTTTCCAAGCAACAAAAATTCATCGCTGGATTTGTTCTACTGTACACTAATACAAAGTTTAATATTTATTTTATGTTTATTTCCTCTTTATATTAAACATTGCATCGCAATGTATTTAAATTTTGTTACTTTCAGGTCAAAATATACCACTAGATCCCAATGGATACGAGTACCTCTCACCTAATCAAGCTGGTTTTGGAGATCCTCTACCACCTCGACGTTTGAAAATAACCAACGCATACGCTGTTCCTACCAGCCTTGTTTTACCGCCTAGAATTAAATCTCCGACGCAACTTCAAGGTCTACAGAATTTCCAACCTATACCGCAGAGCTACCAATCGGTTCCAGCAGCTTTAACTGTACCACAGACTTTACCGCAAACTATACCGCAGACTATACCGCAAACTATACCGCAGAGCGTGTCACAGCCGATCACGCAGTCTGTTACTGTGCAATCTGATTATTTGAATATTTATCCTAAGAGGGTTGATAATTTGTATGATTATTTGAAGAAGTAAATTAAGTTAAGTGGTTGACGAGGAAGAATAGTTAAAAAATTTAACGGTTATGATCATATGAGGTTTTTTCGATGATAAATTGGTTAAAACTAACTAGAGGTTATAAAAGTTCGGGAAAATAAAAAAAGAATATTCAAAAATTGCTGCTTATTTTAACAAAAAAAAAGTCATTTTAATAAAAGGGTGATATATTTAAGTCTTTTTTATTAATATTGAAAAATAAACAAAAACCATTATTTTTTATCATTCAAAAAGCGGGCTGGTCTGAATTTGCACCCGTCTTGTACCAAATAGTTACAGCAGCAAGTCAAAAAGTTTCTTATTTTTATCAATTATCATCTCAGTTACATCTTTTAAAATCAATTGCTGAAACTTTTTGCACAGAGTAAATCAAATAATTTAAATTTTACCAAAAATACAGCTGCTCCTTTTTGAAATAAATTCCTTGTATTTTATAGGTCATATTTGGTTAAAGTTATAACTAATATCAGTTATAAATCTAGGTTAATGTCCAGACTTTGACTTTGCATCATAAATAATTGTCATTCAAATTTGACAGCTCTTAAAAATTACTGTCAAATCAATTTTAAAAAATGCCGCAACACTGTTCTGTGGCTCAAAAATAGAGAGTATAGCAAAATTTAAAGTTAATTAAGCTTTAAATGAATTAACTGTCAGTGAAAGTGTCCTCACCTTTGCACTACACTTTTACGTCATCTGTCAAACTCGAGCTAGTGCAGCTTTTCAGTTTTGGTGAGAATAAATGCCAATTTTTAAAAATAGCTTTATATAAATGATATAAAACCATTTTTGTTCCGTCAATCTTGAAATATAAAATTATAGACTTAAAATGAATCTAAGTATGACTCTAGGCCGCCATTTTGATAATACTTTTCCGTCAACTAGAACGTTTTAAAATTTAATATAACGATATCATTAACAGGCTATACGGAGAATGGTCGCACTGCGCAGCTTTCTGAGTTCCTTTTAAAAGGAGATAGAAAACTCCGCCATTTTGAACCCTTATTACGTGTTGCCTACATCTTGGCGCAATATTTTTAATAGGTGCGTTTTAATCATCCGCTTCTGCTTCGGAATTGTCGGTTTTCTTGTTTTAATCTGACAGGTTAAAACGACTAAACCGACAATTCCGGAAGCAGAAGCGGATGATTAAAACGCATCTGATAGTTTGCTTGCTGCTGTCAGTGTCAGTGAATATTATTTTTGGAGTCACAGTTTATTGCTAAAGAATCAGTTAGCTCACTCGGACCAGTTGAAAGTTCCAAAATAACATCCACTCCAGGGATACAAATTTAGGATAGGCAGAAGACTGCTGTTTTATTATAGGCGATTGTCATATATTGTATTATACGAGTTGCGCAGTGTATAAACTGGAACATTGAGATCAAAAGTGCCGACGCAGAGTGAGCGATCTGATTATTTAGCTGTAAACTGTGTCACAGGGTTCAAAATGGCCGCGCCCTATGTTGGGCGTGTCGGACCTCTCTCTTGCCTCGTATAGTAATCAAAGTATGTATTAACAGGTAACAGATGACAGGTTTCAGACAATTTTAAAAATTTAGTTGACAATAATTCTTAAGAGCTGTCAAAATTGAATGCGACAATTACTATGATCATGCAAAATCTGAATAATACAATTATATTTTGGTTTCAACAACTATACATATTAAAAATTGATTTAAAAAATTTTAATAAGGAAATAAGAAAAGTTGGGATATCAGAGATTGTGTATAATTAAAGGAAAGTCTTTGAAAATTGGCTGAGAAAACTAAAGAAATAAGGCCATTGAGATTAGAACTAGAAACAGAAGAAACGAAGGAGGTATATTAACAAAAATGTTTGGTTAAAAAAAGAATACCAACAAAAATGAGGTATATCAACTTCCTGTCAAATAATAACTGCCAAAGGTCAAGGCTGGTTTATCTAAAAAGGTTGCCGCCATATATCCTTTGATCTTGGTGGCTATTTTTATTTAAAATAGTAGTCGCCAATTCGGCATATTATAGAAAAATGTAAAACCGGTTTTTTGTGTAACCAACTTAAGGTGGCTATTATTTCCACCCTAGCCTCATTAACCCCTTCATCATTACTGGGTCTATGTCGCAACCCCTTAGATATACCAATTCTTCCCTTCGGCAGGTATTTTGCTTAAAATGCCTTATAGGGAATAAATGAAATCTAATATATATTGAGGATAGGTTAAATTAGTAGTTATATATAAGGGTTCAGAAATTTATAAATTTTTTTAGTGTGTGTTAATTCAGGCAGTAAAAACCTTTATTATTGAGTATTTTATGGATTTCTGAAATGTTTAAGTAATTTATTTAACTCACACGTTCTTGTGAACGACGTGCTCGAAGAGCACGTCGCAATCTATTATACAATGTGATTCAAAAAGTATTAAACACATGAAAAAAGTTTTATATTAAATTTCACATAAAAAAACAATACTCTGAATCATTTGAAAATCATTAATTTATATTTAAGAAAATTTAATGCTTAATTATGAATTTCGAGGGAATGCACAACAGTTTATCAAGAATAATTTTTTTTGTTAACAAAACTTTTTCTCTGTACATAAAATTTTTTTGTACAAATTGTATAGTAGATTGCATCGTGCTCTTTAAGCACGTCGTTAACAACATTGTTTGAATACACAGTGTGTTCCAAAAAGAATTATTTCCTAAAAAAAAAATTTTGGATAAAAAATTCTGCATCACTTGGGAATCAGGGAAGCTGAGTTAGGCCAGCGCTACAGGTGGCGCAATCTAGGTAGTTGAGTTAGGCCAGCGACCTTCTTTAATCCCTTGTCAATTATTAATTAGGAGTATTAATAAGTAATTAGGAGAATGATGTGTAGATACATTAATTACTCTTTCTATAATTTTGGATAACGTCGGTAAAATACTTATGGACCGAAGGTCGCTAAATGTTCCAGGCTTATTTCATTTTGGCTATGGTTAAAAAACTGTGCACATGCTTGTTATTTGGGTCTATAAAATTTCGTGTTATCGAGAGTTTAGAAAATTAGAAATTACTCAAAAACTGCTGAATAATATAATTGAAATGTGCCGTTTATCCTGATCTGATTTTTCCGCGAGGAAGCATCATTCTGCTCCAAGTTTTCACTAGTGTAAATATATTGGGGTTAAGATGCCAAAAATTCCAAATAGCGAGAAATGCTCTCTCAATATTTTCGATGATGGAAAGGCGCCCCGTTGCGATAGCTGTGGGGTCTTTTTCCATTTAGATGAAAAGTGCTCTGGATTGTGTGCCAGTGAGCAACGCTCAATTGTTCTTCAAAAGAGCTCAATGATCTTTTTCTGTGAAGACTGTAAAACTTCCTTCAAGAAAATTCCTCTATTGATAAATAAATTAGCTGCTATAGAGAGCAAAGTTAATTCCTTGGAAGATAAGGTTACCAGTATTGAGGAGAAAATTCAAACTTTAAAAACTGAGGGCTCTAGTTCGCTAAACTCTGACTCAGTATCTTACGAAATTCATGATCGCATTACTCGAGCAAGCAACTTGATGGTCTACAATGTTAAAGAATCATCTAGTACCTGTTTTTAATCAATTGGGCTTGAATTCTAGTGATGTGGTCAAAGTTATACGGGTTGGCAAGATAGCCCAGGGCAGATCCAGACTTTAATAAAGTTATTAACACACATTCATTTACTGTAAAGAATTCAATGAGGTCTAAAAACAAGCTTACTGATGGAATTAAAATTAGTTACGATAAAACTAAACTTCAGCAAGATTAGTTAAAAGAAGTTATGTCCGAACTTAAGGAAAGAAAAGATAATGGTGAACTTGACTTATCAATTAAATATGTGCGGGGTGTGCCAATTATTGCAAAAAACGCCCCATCAAAAAACTGAAATGCTCTTCATTATCGGTGTATTACCAGAATATTGGTAGCATTGGTGGCTTGTTGAATTACGTACCGCAATTGCCCAATGTGAATATGATGTTATTGTTTTGGTGAAGTGGTGGCTGACTGATAATTTCAAGGATAACGAACTCTGCTTTAGCTGTTACAGGGTCTTCAGAGCAGACACGAACATACATACTAGCTCAAGAGCCAGAGGTGGTGGTGACTTGATTTTAGTTAAAATTAAATATAAAACTTTTTTTTTTTTAAGGTGAAGGGTGAGAAAAAGTCCTTTATATCTCACAAGGAAAGCCAATGTTTAATTGTTTAACAAAACATTGAGTGCGACCGGTTTCGAAGTGTCATCACTTCATCTTCAGGCTCGCCTAGTGGAAAGGAGAATATGTGGTGTAAGGTGTGTTGGAAACAAAACGATATATAAAATAATAAAAAAGAGAGAAAACTCACCATACTCTCCATCCACTAGGGAATACTACAAAAACAAGTTTCATCAATTTTGGGTTGAAATAAATTGTAAAATGAACCGATTTACACGTAATAAAAAGTTAAAAATATTTGAAAAAACAAATATTAGTCAATTATAGTAAAAATTTTTAAAATATTCAAGACTATACAAAAACAAATCACATACATTAAACAGATTAAAAGATAAGGCCTATTTTAAACATTGTTGTTTTTTTAAAAAATTAACATTTTTTGAAAGGAGACCTGTCAAGTTAAGGCCTCTACAGGTGGTGGTAACTATTATAACGAAAAAATTCTTGGGTAAACTTATGACAGGGTATAGTTAATAAGATGTAAACTATGAGTGAAGAATTATTTATTATCTATTATATAAGATTTGGGCCATGAACCAATCACCAAGTGTATGTGATGTTGTAGGAAGAAGAAAGAAGAAGAAATGACTGGGTTAACTGTTGTGAAGCAACTGAAGAATAAAAGAAGAAGAAAATGACGCATGTGGATATCAGACGATCTTTCCTTGTGAGATATAAAGGACTTTTTCTCACCCTTCACCTTAAAATTACCTCAACTCACACATGGCTACCCCCCTTGTCAATAAATATAAAACATCACATCTTGCTACTCAGTTTATTAATGTTGAACATTTATTTGTTTTATTGTCGATCAATAATGAAACTATTATTTTTGGCGCTGTCTACATTCCACCAGGGTTAAATCATGATGCTTGTATTGATCATTGTTCTGCTGTTGAGCATATAGTGGAAAACAACCATAACAATAAGCTATACCTTTTTGGGGACCATAATCTTCCACATGCTACATGGAATTATTCGTATGATGATGGTCTCTCTGACTCTTGCCCTGCAGAATATCCAGCCATAATAATTAGTGAGAGTTTTTTCTACTTGAATTTGAGTCAGGCCAATGGAATTCCAAATCCTCGACTTATGTAGGAATTCGGTTACTATCGAGACAGCTGTAGACACCTTATTGCCTAATAACTTCCACCATGTTGCAATTTCATGTCAATTAACTGTCAGTGATATTTTATTTCGTATATAGGGTGTTCCCTAACTACGGTACAAAACTTTAAAAGGTGATTCTATAAAATGAGACATCTCCGGATGGATGGATGGATGTATGTATAGAACGATCTAAGGAACTTCTGTACCGTAATTAGAAAACATCTTGTATATTCTTGTAGGGCTCATTAAAATCACGTAGAGTATTTTTAATTTTATTCCTTGGATATTCTGTATATAACAAAATTATCATGTAATTTAAATAAAAATGTCATGTTGACAAAAGTAGTAATTCATTTTTATTTTTATTGATCACGTCGTTGTATGTTTTTCAATAGTGACTTCGAAAAATAAAAAGACTTGTCAAAAAAGAACGAATTTTTATCTTCGTTTGAAACAATTTTAACCTATTAAAACAAAACCTAACCTTACATAACAGTTGTTCATTATTATGGGAACCATTCTATTCAAGATACATTGTTACAAAGATACGAGTACGTATACGATTCAATCTCTTATTATTATTTAAGATGTCTGTCAATTAATTCTAGTAATGTCAAAAGAAACACAAGCACAAACATGTTGCGATATGATTTCTGACATTTTCACTGTTTTAAAATGCGTGAATTTCCAAAAATAATTTCGTGCATTGTTTGCTAGACTGTGGATTTTATTTTTAAATTAAATTATATATTTCCTAAACCAGAGAAATTTCATTATTCTTCCTCAAATATTTATTTTTATGAAGATTATATATTTAATACAAGACTTGTATATTTTCTATGAGAAAAATTTCATATGAAAAACGAAACTAAAATAAAATTTACAGGTGTATTTTTTTAAAATATACTTACCATTTATGCTTATTTATTTTTAGTTATATTTGTAAAATGAAATTTATTTTATGATATATTGATGATTTTTATTTGTTTATATTGTTGCTTTATCAGTCTCAACTTAATTATGTTTAACTTTTATTAACTCTTAAGGTATAATAAATAAAACACTATTGTGATTATAATTTTTATATAATAAATTATTCTACTTTTTTACATGTTTTTTTTTTATTATAATCTAGATATTCTGCGAAGGGTTGATATTTGAAACCCTCGAAAAAGTCTCAAGATGATAAGAATGTAGTGGATATTTCTGTCGTTAGATAATTTCAAAAGATACTTTTTGAAATATTCTTCAGAATATTTACGCTTAGCCGAATTTGAATGGGATCACTGTAGTATGTAGAGAAAAAGGAAACCAAAAATATATTTACCTTATACAAGAGGTATTTGGTAAGTCCATATAAAATCAAAGGATTGCAATTGCAAATGTTTGAAATCACATTTTAATGATAGAGTTATTATGGCTTATGATTGGGGCTTGGAAAATATGCACTTAAAAATGGTCTAAATATGTATGCATTTATAGACAAAATATGCTTTTAAATATGCAAAATAAAAAGACAGTCATTTTTGATATTTAAATTTTATTTTAGACTTTTTAAACATATGATTAGACGATTTTACATTTCTATCAATTACATTTAATTAATAATTATTATTAGAATGAAAACAGTAAGTTATTAAATATTTTTCAATGTTTTCAATAGTGAAACATTGCCTTCTATCACTTAAAATATGTTTGTACACCGAAAATGAACGTTCCACTTCACAAGACGTTACAGTTGCATATTTAAATTTTGAAATTAAAAGTGGTGAAATATTTGAATCCAATTCATTATTAAAGTTGCCATATAAAAAATTTTGAAAATGAATGAATGAATGAATCGTAGAATTCAAAAATTTTGAAATATATAAGCTGCCCTATTTGAAAAAACAGAATTCATAGTTACTTTCGATATAACCGGAAATTCTTGATATACAAAATTATCCTCAATTAGTAGCCTACATGCCATTATAGCTAGCAATATTTTAAAATAAATATATCAGATGTTACAAAAAATTTATTGATCTAAAAAATGCAAAAACTCTCGTTACAATATGAATTACTTTTTTATTTCGCACAAACAACTGTTCCCTGAATATTTATGGCTATTATTATAAATTACATAACCAACTGGTTCCTATTTAATGTATTTTTGGGTAATACACTGTAAAATATCTGCCAAAAACGCATATAAAAGTGCAATAAATAAAGACAATAAAATGTAGACCAGTTATTTCGACACAAATAAAAACAGTTTTAGAAATTGTATCTAGATGAAGAAAAACAACATGATGTTTTAAATTACACTGCTTTCTACTAATAAATACCTACAAGTTGTTGTTATAATACGGAAATCGTTAACGGAATATTTTAGCTAAGAAAAAACTTGTCTTTTCTACATGAGCTTTCTATAATAAACGTCTTTAAAAATCATAAACTAAATATAGTGTATATATTAAGTGTTATTCTCCTGCTAACTCAGGTATATTGCATTTTTGAAGAAACTAATTTTCTTCCTGGTCATAGAATTACTTTTATGCAAAACAGTTTCCACGTGTAATATCACGAGAGATTTTATAGTCAGTTTTTAATTTAACCTCAAGTGGCTTTATTTTAAGAAAATCTCACATAAAGTTACACTTAATTAAATAATGCAAGAATTTATTTTCATTTTACCTACCTAATTTTAATTTAAGGATGACATCAAAAATAAGTGAAAATATTTAAGAATATCCATTACAAAAAACGGTTAAAATAGAAAATTATTACTAGAATCATTAAAAAGACAAGAAAATTTCATATAATTTCGATTACTCTAGATATGTAGATAAGGGAAAACAAGTGAAAACATGGAAAAAAATGCCCTTTATGTAAAAAGGGATAAGAATAGCATTGAAATAAGAAAGAAAATTGCCTCTCCAGGAAAAAAGAATCAAGAAAAAACCACCTCTTAAGGAAAAAAGACTCAAAAGAAAACCACATTTTTGATAATAATGATTTTGAGAGGAAACTATTTTTTAACGAAAAAAGACTCAAGAGAAACCCAACTCCCGAGGAAAATAAAACGAGAGAAAATCACTTATCGAGAAAAAACTCGAGAGAAAATGACCTTTTGGGAAAAAGACCCAGGAGAAACCTAAATCTCGATAAAAAAAAGACTCGAGAGAAAAAAGACTTGAGAGAGATCAAGTTTTGAGGAAAAAAGTGAGGAAAAACCACCTCTCGAGGAAAAAGGACTCGAGAGAAAAAAACGACTCGAGAGAGTCTAAGTTTTAAAGAAAAAAGACGTGAAAGGAAACTACTTCTCGAAAAGACTCGAAAGAAAAAAGACTCGAGAGAAAAAAGACTCAAGAGAAAACCATCTTTCATGAAAAAAGACTTAACCCTTAAATTTTAGTTTTTGTAAAACACACTTTATGCATGAAAGAATCAATCCATAAAGAAGTAAAATATTTATTGTTAAAAAACGAAAGTTAATGTACATTCCTAGTATATTTTTTTGATAATTTAAAATTCAAGTTTTGAGGAAAAAAGTGAGGAAAAACCACCTCTCGAGGAAAAAGGAATCGAGAGAAAAAAAACGACTCGAAAAAGTCTAAGTTTTAAAGAAAAAAGACGTGAAAGGAAACTACTTCTCGAAAAAACTCGATAGAAAAAAAAGACTCGAAAGAAAAAAGACTCGAGAGAAAAAAGACTCAAGAGAAAACCATCTTTCATGAAAAAAGACTTAAACCCTTAAATTTTAGTTTTTGTAAAACACACTTTATGCATGAAAGAATCAATCCATAAAGAAGAAAAATATTTATTGTTAAAAAACGAAAGTTAATGTACATTCCTAGTATATTTTTTTGATAATTTAAAATTTTATTTGTTCTTTCTCTCACAATCTAAATAATATATATGTTAGAAATAAGAATTTATAATTATAGTCTACTTAAGATGGAATTATTGCATATAAAATATTTTCAGTCCTTTAAGAGGTTTTTCAAAACATATGTGTAAGAATACAGAACCGCCGAGAAACCCATCTCTCCAGGAAAAAAGACTAGAGAAAACCACCTCACAAGGAAAAAAGACTCGAAATAAGCCCAATTCTCGAAGAAAAAACTCGAGAGCATAAAGACTCGAGAGAAAACCCCTCGAAGGAAAAAATTAGAGAAAAAACCACCTCTCGAGGAAACACACTCAAGAAAAACCCAATTTTCGAGGAAAAACTCGAAAGAAACCCAACTTTCGAGGAAAAAACTCGAGAAAAAACAAACTCTCGATGAAAAAAGACTAAAGACTCGAGAGTAAATCACCTCCCGAGGAAAAAAGACTCAGGAGAAAAAATACCTGGGAAAAAATCACCTCTAGAGGATAAAAAGTCTTGAGGGAAAACGACCTCTAGAGTAAAAATGACTTGAGAGACCTAACTCTTCAGTAAAAAAGACTCGAGAGAAAAAAGACTCAAAAGAAAAAAGACTTGAGAGAAAATCGCCTCTCGGGGACAAAAGATTAGAGGAAACCACATCTCGAGAAAAAAAGACTCGAGAGACCTACATCTAGAGGAAAAAGAATCGAGAGAAATAAGACTCTAGAGAAATTCACTTCTCAAGAGAGAGAGAGACCAACTCTTGAGGAAAAAAAGACTCGCGAGGAAATAACCTCTCGAAAAAAAAGGCTTAAAAGAACCCATTGTTTCGAGGAAAAAATACTCGGGAGAAACCAAGTTTTGAGGAAAAATGGCGTGAGACAAAATTACCTTTAGAGGAAAAAACTCGAGAGAAAAGGGACTCGAGAGGAAAAAAGCCTCGAGAGATAATCACCTCCCAAGAAAAAACCCGAAAAAGGAAACCACCTTTTGAGAAAAAAACTCAAGAGAAACCAAAATCTCGATGAAAAAAGACTCGAGAGAAAACCGCCTCTCGAGGAAAAAAGATTCGAAAGACCCCAAACTCTCGAGGAAAAAATATTCGGGAGAAAAAAGACTCGAGAGAAAAGAAGACTCGTGAGAAAAAACACCCAAGAGAAAAAAAGACTCGAGAGAAAATCTCCTCTCGAGAAGCTCAAGAAAAACCACCTTTTGAGGAAAAAGACTCAAGAGAAACCCAAATTTGGATTAAAAAAGACTCGAGAAGAAACCACTTCTCGAGGAAAAATGACTCGAAAGAACCCAAACTCTCGAGGAAAAAATACTCGAGAGAAAAAAAGACTCGAGAGAAAACCATCTCTCATGAAAAGTCTTAATAAAAACTCAACCCTTAAGTTTTAGTTTTTGTAAAACACTCCATGTATGAGAGAATCAATCCATAAAGAAATAAAATATTTATTATTAAAAAACGAAAGTTAATATACATTCCTAGTATATTTTTTTTGATAATTTGAAATTATATTTTTTTTTTCTCACAACCTTAATAATATATATTTTAAAAATAAAAATTACGTTATTTTTTAAATGTATATATTATCATCAGAAGTCAACGTTAAATATATCTGCCCTAATTTGTAATTATAAAGTCTACTTAAGATGAAATTATTAAATATAAAATATTTTCAGTCCTTTAAGAGGTTTTTCAAAAAATATTAATTTTATGCAAGAATACAGAACCTCCGAGAAACCCTTCTCTCCAGGAAAAAAGACTAGAGAAAACCACCTCACAAGGAAAAAGACTCGAAATAAACCCAACTTACGAGGAAAAAACTCGAGAGAAAACAAACTCTCGAGGAAAAACGACTCAAGAGAGAAAAACCAGGAAAAAATTACCCATAGAGGACAAAAAGTCTTGAGGGAAAATGACCTCTCGGGTAAAAAAGACTTGAGACCCAACCCTCCAGTGAAAATGACTAGAGAGAAAAAAGACTCGAGAGAAAATAGCCTCTCAAGGACAAAATACTAGAGGAAACCACATCTCGAGGAAAAAAAGACCTAA